AGGCCTAGGGATTTGGCACATGGGCTCAATAATGGAGGTTCGGGAGAGGTTCTTAAAGCAAGTTTCGGAAGTTTGCTTTTGAAAGGCGCCTGTGGATTTTTTTGAGGGTGTTACTGCTTTGCGGGCTGGAGCTTCTTTGGTCAGGGCAAGCTGCCCAATGTATCTACCATGGCTTCCGTTTGAGCCGAGGGGCTATCAACCAATATCAACCATATCCTTCACCGTGTTGAAATTGCTTCGGAGGCTGATACTGTGGACGGACGAAATCCGGCACCACTTTGAAACCAGGAAAAACCATTGTTTGTTGGTATTTGTATGGGAATCATCATTCCAGGGTTTCTTAGGTGGTGCAGGATTTCGTCCATCCACAGTATGTACAATTGGCCCATGCTGTCATTTCTAGCAGTCCCTTCTTGGCAAGTGAGGTTATGCTCAATGTTTTGACTCGCGCTTTCTCTGCCTGGCGGAAAAATCAGCTGGTTTCCATCGACCCGCTGAGTCTGATCGCTGACAAATCGATTGTCTATTGCTTGTAGGGGCTGGTTTTGAAATTGCCCACCTTCCAGCGACCATGATACTGTGGATGGTTGCGAAATCCTGCATCACCGAAGAGGCCCTGGAATGATTCGATTCCTACTATGTAAATACCAACGAACACTGGTTTCAACCATGGTCTCAAAGTGGTGCGAACGGATTTGGTCTATCCACGGTAGGTGATAACATAGTTTGCGGAACTACATCCGTTGTGAAAGGAAGATCACTCAGCTCCAGCGCCTGGAGTTACTTGAAGCTTGCATATCTTGCATCCTCTCAGTCCTGAGACCTGAGGATATGTGGGTGCCGAAGCATCCGGAAACTGGCGGGGTGCTCAAACCTGACGTCACGCAGCTCGGCGGATTTTGGGGAGGCGGAGTTTGAGGTGTTCGGCGTTTCACCTATTCACTCCATTCTTCCCATGTCCCTTGTTGTCCAGTGACCCCGTGATTTCATTGCCCTGTATAGTAGGTAACCAAGGGAACCATCCTTTGAAAGCCAAAAGGACAGGGGCGTGGTAAGTGGGATCCACTGGGTGCGGCTAGGCTGGTTCTCATCTTGTCTTCCTCACCGCAAAAAAGACCAGCAGTGCAGGAAACATCCAGAAATTTGGATTGAGTGAGGGAAGCAACCACAAACTTGAAACAAGCTCCCAGGCCAGTGACTCAACATAGCCTTGGCTCAGGCACCTGCAACATATTCATCGGGGAACGTTGGAGGGGTCTACTGCCGAATGAGTTGGTCGTAAGCTTCAAAGCCTTCTGGATGGTGGTTTTTCGTTTTGGATCCTTTCGGGGGTTTTCCCTTGACTAGGTCCGCCAGTGGTGCCCTTTCTCTCTCCCCTTTTTTGGTTGGGAGGGTTCCCCTACTAAAATAACCTACAGAAAAATCGGGTACCAACTTTTTCTAACCGCTCAAATCTGGAGGACCTAGTTCATGTTCAAAGAGGAGCCTGTTTTCTCAGCATGTCCGCAAGTCACCGGAGCCCCAAAAACCGCCGTGGTGCCTCCGTTGAGAAAACTGCTGGTTTTGTTGCTCACTTCCCGAGGTCCTGAACTTTTTCTTTTTTTTCTGGGAAGACCCTGTTCTTCCATTTGCTGTTTTTTTTTCTCCCCCCTTTTAGAACATGTTTATTTCCCCCTGCTGGTTTTCAAGGGAATCGATTTCACTACTGGACAGTGACCAATTTTAATGTTTTTCCAGGGGGCGAAAAAGCAAATGGCAGTAGTGGAAATCCCAAGGTTTGCTTACTTTTTTAGCCCATCCACTCAGGAAGTCCGGTTGCCTGCGACCGTTTGAAGGGTTCTCCGGTACATCGACTCACGCACACCATTCCAACAGACGCAGAAGTTGCGCTTGGGAGCCGCGTGGTTAGGATTCCAAGCCTTTCCAACAAGCTGAATAAGCTGAATAAGCCTTTTGTTTGGATGCCTCACCCTCAAAATGGGTTGGTGTTCTTTTGGGTTCCCTTCAAACCCCGACAGGTCGCAGGGCTCCTGAAACTTTGGTGCATTTTGCCAAGGGATGTTAGGACTTGAGAACTTTTTGCCAACTATGGGGTTTTCAATGGGCAACCAAAAGGAGAACCATGTTGGGAGTCCGCCGACAAAAGACGGACCCTTTTCTTTGGTGCTTTTTGCCAAGGACTTTAACTTTTTGCCAACTAAGGGGTTTTCCGAATTAAACGAAGTTATTCACTTTTAGCAGGGGAACAGATTTCGCAACCGAGTTAAAGTGGTCAAGTTGTCATGGGGCCCACTTTGGTAAAACAGAAAGGGTGATATTTCCACCAAGATGTGCACAGTGGGAAAAATGACAGGTGACGCGGCAAGAAGACATCACAATTTGCAATTCTTGTTGTGGCCAAATGCCAAAGCCCACTTTTGATAGGTTTCTCTTTGACCTGACCGTTTCAAACCTGTTGCTTGACCCTCTTGCGGGAAAATCAAGAGACCATTCGCTGAAACGGGGTTCAAACGGCAAAATTGTTCAGCAACAAGTCAGCAAGCTCTGCAACAAAGAATTGCCGCAAGCCCTTCGACTAGTCCTTCAACAAAACCCATCCAACCATCTTTTTCCGCGAACCCTTCCATCAAACCCCTCTGTCCAAACCTCTTATCTTGGGGGTTTCCCAGTCGCTTGAGGGATTCCCCTCAAACCCCAAGGCGAAGCACCGAGACACTAAATTCACAGGTGCCCACAACCCCAACCCAAGACCCCAAACCCGAAACCCCAACCCAAAACCAACCAAACCCAACCTAGGTCCCCAACCTAGGTGCCCTTGCTCACTCTTTTTTTGGTTGGGAGGGTTCCCCTACTACAATAAACCACAGAAGAAAAATCGGGTACCAACTTTTTCTAACCTCTCAAATCTGGCCGGACCTAGCTCAACCCGTCAGGATGTTCGGCGAGGCCTTGCCGGCGGGCGCTTTTGGCTCCTCCTGGTGGAGTGTCTTGAGCTCCCCCGTGTGCCTAGTGGTTGGCACCGGCCTGAACGCAGGGAACCTTAGACCGCTGCGTTTGTTTTGGGTGGGTCGCTAGATGACTTCCATTTGCGGAAATGACTTTTTTTTATTTTCCCCTGTTGGTTTTAAAGGGAATCGATTTCACTACTGTTTTTTTTTCCAGGGGGCTTAATCAAATGGAAGATGATCGCTGCGTTTGTTTTGGGCGGGTCTGTTGTTTTTTTAAGTTGGTACCCCCTTTTTGGGGTTTCAAAGCAAGACAAGGAAGACAACCACGAATTTCGGGGAGGTGGGGTCCCCTAAAAAAGACACCATGTCCCCACACGAATGTTTTCTTTATTCTTTGGTTGTTTGGTGCTGTTCATTGTTTGGGGGTGGGGGGAAACATGATGGTTTGCCCTACAAAGGTTTGGGAAGATTTGGGCCTGTGTTTGTGTAAGGCTCGGTGCTTGATGTATTTTGAAAGGAAGCCAAGAGGACATCATCATTCTTTTTCGGGGGCTCTATCTTGACACATACCCATTTGTTGAAAACCCCCACAAAGTGCACAAACCAATTAAAACCATTCCATGTTTGCCCCTGATGGAAACTGAATCGAAGCTGTTTTTGTTTCAATCCCACGGCTGGAGGGTGCAAGGATTATTAAAAGGGTAAATGTAGTATTATTATCATCATCATTATTGTTATCAGTATTGTTATTCTTCGGGGGACTGGCCTTGAAGATGGGTACCCTTTATGAGCTTGTCATTGAGTCAAACCTTAATTGTTGAACAACACGCAATCAGACCTTGCTAGCTTGTTTTTGTTTTCCCCCCCCCATGTTTTTTGGGTATTAGGAAAAGCCAGCCTTAAGGCTGTGAAGGGAATTGAGCGGCAATCATAGGTTGGGGAGGGCAGTGTTGACTGGCAATTTCGGGGTGGGGGGGGAAAGGACAGTCTTTAAGAGGGGTATTACTCAGCATGCAACATTATATTTAACCGCCTGACAACAAAGCACTGGTTCTTGAGACCGAATTTTCGATTAGAAGGGCTTGGGTACTTTAAAGCCGAAGGTCGGACCCGTTGGATGTTTCAACCCCAAACTCTTTTTGGCCCCCATTGCCCATGTTGCAATTTCTGTCGCCAAAACACTTCTTCGCTTCAGTTGGTGCTGGTTTCGTTTGGGTACCCTTTTTTGGATTGGTTTCAGGGAAAACCAACAGGAAAACCATTTTCTGGGTTTCCCTATTATGAGCCATTGCCATTTGCAATAGAAACAATTGACCTCCATGTCAAACCGCCGCTGCAGGCGAGTGGAAAATCAGAGTCCATGTGTGTGTGTGTGTGTGCTCCACTTAGCTACCCTGTAGCTGTGGGAAATGAAACCGGAAGGGCTGCGGTCGTTGTGTGATTTTGTAGTTGGGACCCCCTCTAGTCTCTCACACAGCTGACTCGAGGGTAAAGAACTGCGTGGGAAAAGGAGAACGGAGCCTTTGGTAGGCGCCGGGACCACGAGGCGAAGGGTTTGAGCTGTAGGAGTTTTGTGACCATGGGTCAAATTCCAAATCGTCCCAGTGAACATCCCAATCCCCACTGAAATAGGTTCTAAAATGGGCGGTGCACCTACCCCAAAATGGGATCCCATTGGTTTTGACAACCACAGCCGTGTAGACCTTGGCGCAAGTCCAGCGGTTGCCCTTGACGTTCCACGAGGAACATCGACATGAAGTATCCCCCAGTTGAACTAGCAAGACCCCCATCCACAAGTTAGTTTGTATTTCATCTGGTTTTTGTTGTTGCCTTTCCGGGATCCTCCAAAAAGGTTGTCCTTCTTTCAAAGGTGGCACTGGATCTGCTCAGTACCAGGGACATGCCAACTCTTCAGCTCAGGTCTTTCCGGCCAATTTGGTGCCCGGCATGGTGCGGTGGCGGTTCGGCACGCCACCCGGCTTTTGGATCGGCACGCAGCGTGGGTTCTTTTGGCGCGCAGTGGGTTTCTGGTTGGTTGCCCTTGTACAACGCGGGGGCCCATCACAAAAGGACACCTTCAAGTGGCCATGGGTCAAAAATGCATACCCAAAATGGAACCCTGGTAAATGGAACCCCAGACTATAACCTGCGGTCCGATTTCTGGCGGTTTTATTTTGACCCGTACCCAATCGGCCACTGGGCCCACTTTGGTATCTCAAGGACCATCTTCCACGACTGTAGCCCCTTTGGGCCGGGCAACACTCGGCTGGTGCGCAATTTGAAGGCTGCGGGTCGGTTTGAGCACAGTGGATGGGTTGTGGGCTGTGTTGGGTGTTGGGCTGTTGGGCTGGCTGTTGGGTTGTTGGGCTGCTTGGGCTGATGGGCTGAGTTGGGCCTGTTGGCTTTTTGCCGCTGAGACCAAAGATGAAGCACGGATAGTAGTTTTATCCCCGGGATCGGCAACCCTTGTCTTTTAGCATTTGTTCAAGCCTGAGGCTGGATCTCGCAAAGTTGTTTTCATAGCAATCGCAGAGCCAGTTCCTTTGAGGAGGCAATGATAATTTCATCAGGGAAAGGTTGTTCAATCGATAGCTTTCTTTCTCTCCGACCTGGGCCCAACTGATCTTCCACTTCTACCACGACCCTGCACTGCTTCCACGCACAAGGGCCCAGGGTGCACTGGAGTTATGTCCTGGTTTGAGACATCGCTTTGCCCAAAAGGGACAGTTCCCTCTAGCCACCTAGAGACTCGTGCTGCCCTTGCGGGGCTTCGTGCGAACTGCGTCTCTTTTTCGTCCTTCCGGGTTTAGTTGAGGGTGGAGCTGCGGAATGCTGCTTCCAGTGCCCCAGTGCCAGTAGATGCTTTGACTGGAAGTTGGGCTCTCGGAATATGGGCAATTTGTCAATATCCTAGAGCGCCTGTCGCACTCAGTTTCAGACGCTAGGTCCCCCAGTAGTGCCCTTTTACCTCTCAAATCTGGAGGACCAATTGACGCCCTCCCAATCTTCTCCAGAGCTTGGAAGCTAGGCATCCCATCAGCCCGCCCGCCGCCCAGGCTCATCGTGCTCAACAAGGACAGCTCCGGCGCCTCCAGCGTCCCAGCCTCAGATGCCGAGATCTGCGGAGCCTCAGCCACCCATCGGGCCCTGGAGTCATTGAGATGCCGGTTCCGGGGCCAATTCAATTGGTTCCTCTGAGTGTCTTGGTCATTTTCCAGACTCTCGACGATTGGTGCGGATTTTGTGGTTTGCTTAGTGTCTCCGGTTCCGGGCCCCCAATGAAGGTTTCTTGGTGTCATTCGTCAAATACCCAGACTCTCGAGGATTGGTGCGGAATTGCTCGATCAGTCATTGTTGTCTTAGAGTCTCGTCAGTTCCAGATGACTCTAGTATCCATTGGTGCAGAAGCTCACTTCCTGAGTTCATGAACCTTAAACTTTTTGGGAAGACCATGATAGTGGTAAATCTAAAGTTTGGACTTTTTTTGGGCCATCCACTCAGCCAGTGAGCATTGGTGCAGTTTGGTGTCTGCTTTCGAAGCTGGTGACTGTCCATGAACCCTGAGAGGTGCAGACAATGGGGTGGCTCGTCTTTTGGGAAGTTGGGACCTCTTTTTTTTTTTGGCGGGGGGGGGGGGTCCCCCACAAAAGGTGCCCACGCTTGTGGGGTTCAAGAAAAAGGGGTGTCTGAAAGCCCGAGATGTGATTCCACATCATCTAGGTTGCGAAACCTGAAAGACAGCGAGAGATGGGAAAGTGCCCCAACTTGCATTTGGCGACCCTGGCGCATGTTTCTAAAATGGACAGCCAAAGGCAGCCGCTGGCATTTGGCAGCGGTCCGATCCAGATCGATTGCCTTGCACGATGGTCTTGGGACATGCGATTTGTGCCGGCCTAGGGGTCCCACAATCAGAAGAGGGTCAACATTAGATGCACAGGCAGAAGCCACGAAGAGGTTGCTTGAAGCTTGACAGCTTGACAGCTTCCCAGGCGGACATTTTTCTGCAAGGCTGGGTCGATCCCGAACCGGTTTTCCTCTGAGAGTTCGTTGGTCGGGGAGGTGCGTGAGCTTCATCCATTCGCCGGGGTGAGCTCCTGGCGCCTCACCCACTCGCCCATTTCGGCAAAAGATGTCATGAGATACAGCGCTTACCCCCCAGGCCCGCCTCCCTGCAACGCAAGAATGCGTTGAGCCACAAATGTGTACTAAGGCTTCGGGGACCTCCCGGGGCCTGTGCGGTTTCATCAATGTGACGCTATTTGGTGTTTCTGGCTTGAACCAGGACCCGTTTTGGTTGAACCAGGACACTGCGCTTCCCCATGTTGACGCTTCCCCGTGTTAGGACTTTACTTTGCAGGCTTTGGTCAATGTAACATTTGCTGATAGGTGATAGCGACCTTGCACAAAGGCGGGCGTCCCTGTTTGTTGTTTTGTTCCTTGCGTGCGTGCATGCGTGCTTGCTTGTTTGTCTGCTTTCGTCAATATTCAACATGTCATGCACGCAAGGACGCATGCAGACAGACAGGCAGACAGACAGACAGACAGACATACATACATACATACATGTTACATACATAGATAGATACATACATAGATGCATACATGTACACTTACACATACACTTACGCATACACACATATGCATATACATATACATACATACGCAGAAATGTCCGCGAGGCAGCGCCGGAGAGCTGCTGCCAAAGCTGGTGGACGCAGTGAAGCAGCGGTTGAGCGCCTTGTGAAAGATGACTAGGTCCCCCAGCCTTCTGGATGGAACAGTGGCCTCTGGGTTTTTTCGTTTCGGATCCTTTTGAGGGGGGTTTTCCCTTGACTAGGTTTTTTGAGTAGTGCCTTTTCTCACCAACTTTTTTGGGTTTTTGGGTTCCCCTACTAAAATAGACAGAAAAAAGTTGGTACCCTTATTCTAACCTCTCTACTGGAGGACCTAGTGAAAGCTTAATGTGCGGATCGGGGAAATGGGGACCCCTCCAAGTGGTTTTGGCGCTAAATGCTGCGTTTTGCTCCTTTTTACCAAAGGGAAACCAAAAGGGATGGGTCTATAAGTGTGCTTGATTTTTCCAGACAAATTCAGCCAGGTAGGGGAGTAAGGGTGTTTCAAGCCAGGGTTCTGCAAGTAATTGTTTGAACTCGCATGCACACCTTTAAAGGAAGCCTGAATTAAGGTTGGAGACCCACATTGTGAATGATTTGAAAAGGAAACAACAGGAACCGCTGCCACCTGGATGGGGTACCTGAATTCGAACCATGTTCCGTTTGCAGAGTTTGCGACTCGGTCTTGTACACTAGTCGCTCAAACGCCAGCAAGAGTCTGGCTCCAAAAGATGCGGAATGGACGCGTGCACACATCTCCGGCAAAAAAGTAAACCCTGCGCCAGTGACGGTCTGCCCCAGACTGATGCACGATGAAATACCTCATCCTTTGCGTCCCGGTGGTTCAATGAAGCTTGAAAGTTACGAAGCGGTTTGTCAAATAGGGCGCTCCTGATTCCGTCCCCCTTTTGGGGATTACCTCATGTGGCTTCGGCAAAGCTGCCAGGCAAAAGAAACGTGGAACCGCGTCAAGGAGCTGGCCTTTTCAGAGGGTCTGAAGAAAGGAATCATCTAGCCTCCGGGAAGGGTTTGCTTGATGGTTTGGTTGCGTGTGTTCTTGCTTTCTTGACTGCTTGCTTGCCTGTATTGCCATGTCTTTTGCATGTTGGTTGTTTTGGCGCGTGCTGAGAAGCGGTGCGCTGTTGTTTTATGCGAGTTGGTGCAAGCAAGCGCCGCAGCAAGGCGCTTGAAAGCAGAATAAATTATCCTTGGCTCAAGCGACATAGAAGCTGCTAGAGAGCGTGTGCTTGCCGAATTGATCTTTGGTGCATTTTGCTTGGATGTTAGGACTTTAACTTTTTGCCCACAAATGAATTTTCCATTAAACCACTAAAAGTCAGGGGAGCAGAAAGCAACCGAGCTATGACAAGTGGCCCACGGGATTGACATGTGAAGCTTGATGGTGGACGGCGCATCAGACGAGGACGTCCCTCAAAGTCCTACCCGGGTTGAGATTGGCTTTGACGTCAGGCCGGACCATATGGCCTACATTCCAGTTCGTTGGAAGGTGCCTGGAGTCTCCATGACCCTTTCAAAATGGGTCCATGACCCCATGATTTTGGGTAATGACCCCATGTTTGAAGGGTCATGGAGACTCCAGGTGCCCTTACAACCCTTTGTGACTGGGATGAAACAGTTGGGGAAGAGTCCCCGGTGGAAAGCTTCCGAGGACTTCGACACATGATCCATGCTTTGACCATTGCTCTCAATCTTGAAAGGATCTATAGCAGGCGCAATCACAGATGGTTGCAACCTATCGTACCGTAAATTTGGTTTAGCACACTCCATCCAATTCTTCAGGCGCGCATTGCGCATGGTAGGACTGAAGGTGATAGTTTGGCTGAGGAAATTTGAAACATGTTTCAGTCTGAAGTCGCAGGGGTTGGACCACAATCAGCTGCGACTGCAGGCTGACGGTCATGGATCAGCTGACGGTTTTCATCTTGATTTGTCAACCTTGGTTAACCGTCACGTCAACCAAATCAAGAAGGTTTTCATCAGCTCCCCGCCATGGATCTTGATGTTCTGTATTTGATCCACACAGATCGCAATAGAAAATCACCTGTGAGCCTGAGCCTAAGGTGCATTTTGCCAAGGGATGTTAGGACTTGAACTTTTGCCAAATGGGTTTTCCGTATTAAACCCACTAAAAGTGAGTTTCACTTTTAGCAGGGCTTCGCAGAAAGCAGCCGAGTAATTCTCAGAGTTGCTTGGATGGCCACGCCAGCGCCTGTCCGCATGCAGGCATGCCACGACAGAGCCGCGCAGATGCACAGCGCACCTGCGCCTTGCCTGTCGAATTGGCAGGAAAAAAAGAAAGATGTTGGTTGGCCCCATCTGTGGATTTGCAAGCGCGCCAACATGGAACTCGCACTCTTTTGAGGCAACCTGTAGAAACACCCAGCTTTTGCTTGGCTGTTTGGCTGTCTGTTAGTGTCTGTATGTTTGCTGAATATATCTTTCATATTGTTTGTTATTCTGCTTGATGAGGCTCCAATTAACATGGAACCTGACGTTTCGGGGAGTCCTGTCCTTTTGAAGGGACCGGGAGCCCAAACGTCAGGTTCCATGTTATTTGGTGGGAAGGTCATTGTTGTTTGTTTTTCTCTGCAAATACCTCTCCTCAGTTTTGTCGGTTGTTTGTGTCCATATGTTTGTAAATAATATCGTTCCATGTTGCTTTTTCCTGGGTATTCCCTAGCTTTTCATGTTGCTTTGCTTCTGCACGGGGGGCAGCGGGGCCATTTTCCTTTTGAAGGCACCCCCCAACGTCAGGTGAGCCAAAAATAGCTGCGGGAATCCTCCTTCCTAATTCTTGAAGCATGGTTCTGGGTCGACCCATTTTTGAATACCAGGTTTTGATCATGGCTCAAGTGATGAACCTGCATTCAGTGAGTTCTGGAAACAACGGATGCTCCTCAGTTCCGCTGCTCTACCCACCAACTCTTCTTTTTCCAGCCAGGTTCCCATGTAAAACAGGGCTCCTTAAAAGATACATTTTGCAACCATTTGAAACATGGCTTGTTCCACCAAAATAAAAGAAAACCACCATTTACAAGTTGCAATGTTCAGGTGTTTTTCATGCATCCGGATCCCTGCACAACAAAAACGGCGGCCTCTCGATCCCCGATCCCCGGTGTGTTTCTTTTGAGGTACGACTCGTCGCTTCTGCGGGGCACCACCTCAGCGGTGCTGCTGAATCGCTTCGGCTCCATCCTGAAGTCCACCGCCGGAGGCATTGGCCTGGCGCACTCCGGCGCCTCGGTGGTGGGCGATTTTTTGTTTTTTTATATGTTTTTTTCCGAGCGCAGAGGTGGCGGAAATTTCTCAGGGAATGAGATATGAAATGACACCAGCAGGTGAGCAATGAATGTCTCAGCATGAAGGATAGATTTCTCAGTTCTACGAAATGAGCCCAAGACCTTTGCTCGTGTAGCCGTGGGGCGGGTCCGCACGGTCACTGGCGAGGATGTGACAGCGGATGCATTCATCCCACCACTATAGTGGCTAGGTCCCCCAGCGATCGGTGCCCTTTCTCACCCCCGTTTTTTGGTTGGGAGGGTTCCCCTACTAGAATAGACTACCCAAAAAGTATGGTACCCTTATTCTAAGCTCTCTACTGCAGGACCTCGAAGACATGAGAAATGAGGGAATGCACAAATTGCGAGATAAAAACCAGGGGGTTTTGTCTTGCGGACCTCGAAGGCTGACAATTTTGCAACATTTTTCGGGAATGAGAAATGGAATGCCATCCAACTGAGATGGAAACGGAGGACTTGAGGTAAAATTGGAGATGGAGGAAGCCTCTTCTACTTGCTGGTGCGATGAGCAGGGAATGAGAAATGACATGAACCTTATACACCATCCCACGGGTGGGTTCATTCCCTCATTCCCTATCGCACCAGCAAGTAAAACAGGGGCTGCTAAAATGGCTCTGGAATTACCACAGTTATCCATGTAGTGGTGACCATCAAATGAACTGTAGCTGCATTAATGAGCCATTCACAGTTTAGGGAAAGCTTCCCCATTCTTTCCAGTTTCAGGAAGCCACAAGGCTAAAAGGGGCGGATACTTTTTTGGGGAGAACCAACAGGAAATATCCCTTCCCATTTGGGAGAGTTTGTGTGTGTGTGTGCTTGTGAAAGATTGTTGCTGATCCAGCCAAAAGGTAAACCGTGTTCATTGGTTTGCCTAAAACATATTGCCTGCATGAGTTTAGTTGGGTAGGCCCCTCTCGGTTTTAAGCCTTTCGGTCGTCGGGCAGCGGATTTGGGTCCCCGCTCGGTTTCTGGTGGCAATATTGTAGTGCTCCGTGTCCCGAGCGTTGATCATGACATGGAACATGGGCCAATGTAATATCGCTTTGATTTTTTCTTCCTGGGCACTCGCAACGGCGCACCCCAATTGGAACTGCCCAAACATTGCAACAAAGCTTTGGTTGGATACATTTTAGATTTTTTCGGAAGTTCAGGTCGCTCCCAATCAGATCACGGCCAATCCAAGCCTTTTTTGGTCCCTTAACCCCGATCGCTTTCCCTTTCTCCCACTAACATGGCACCTCACAGCCGGTTCATTCAAGAGAAAATTGATCTTCCAGGTACCCTGCAGGTGCTATGTTCGTGGGAGGGTACCCCATGGCCTGAGGTGAGCCACAATCAAAACCCGGGTAGATGAAGGTTAGTAAGGGACAATCCCCTTGCGAGAAGTAGCTGCGGAATTCCTTCTTAATTCTTGAAGCATGGTTCTGGGGATCGACCATTTCAATACCGGGTTTTGAGCAAGTGACTCAGGAGTCCACAAACGAGCCCTGGGTTGATTCACAGCCCGACCGCTCCCAGCTCCCAGCACCATGGCCTGAGGTGAGGACTCCTACACAAAGAGCGAAGTCGCCTCCGGAGGGCAGCTCGATATCTTCCTCTCGCACAGCCTCTCGGAGTAAAAATTGCCGCCGAACGGCGCAGAGGCTCTTTTTTTTTTGCCAGGCTGCTGGGGGCCGCTTTTTGTCAATAAGCATGGTATCGGGATTTGGTGTCCTTTGTTGGCTTAAAACTTGTGAAGCTGGTTGGTCCGAGTTTAGTTGAGTCTTGTTATAAAGGAAGCCTACAGCTAGCGTCCATTTGCCTGGAGACTTCTTCGGCTTGTGGGTCCATGCTAGCCTTTGAGATTGAAAAGGGGAGCCTTGAAAGCGAGCCAACGGGGGAGGCAAGCTGCAGCTGAGCCATCACCCAACAAAAGGTCGTGGCAAGCAGCCAGGCAAAGCCTCAGTTGTTCAGTGGCCCCAATTTGTCCCCTTTTTTCTTGGTGGCTGCCCCACTAAAATGGTCTTCCCAAAAACGGGTTCCCTTTTTTTCGCAGGGTCACTGAACAACTGAGAAGCAATGTAGACCTGTAAAGACCCGGTATGGGATGATAGTTCGGATTGGAAGTTCACATCCTGTCGACATGTCTGGAAGCTGAAGGGCAGTTTGCCGTGCTTCGCAAGATGTTCGGCGGACATGCAGACAGGCTGGCACGCGTGCTGGTGGAAGAAGTACCTCACGCTGCTCTACTATTTCAATGCGCTGCCTGCGACTGTATCTGTTACTTGGCTGATATGACTTTGGATGCACCGTTTTTTTCGGTGTTCCCGATGCAGGTGTGGCCATTGCGGAAGCTCAAAGCATCTCAATGGGAACAACAAGTTTAGGGGTTCACAAAAATTTACCTGTCAGGCGCCTGCTTAGTTTTCATTGTTTTGCTTTGGGGATGCGTCATAGGAGGCGCTTGTTTATATATTGGTCTCAAAGCGGAAGCCCTTTCGATTCGAGGTCGGCCACTTTGGGATTTGCGAGACCACCGGGTTCCCGCAGTTTCCTGGTTCTAAACGCGGTCGAGCCAACAAAAGATCATTGTTGCGTCCGTAGTGGCCATCTAAGGAGGATGGAATTGCAAAGGGTAAGAAGGAAGGGATTTGCGAATTTGCATCTAATCTAAGATGAGTGGAATTGCAAGAGCTGGGAGAGAAGAACCAGGGGTTCGAAACCATTCAACGGGTCAAACAGAGACCGACCTGTGCCGCTGGACTCCCTGCCCTCGCAGGTCACCCTGGTTTTTATGTCAGGCCCGACCAAACAACCCAAGGGGCCCCAAGCTTTGGTCACATTCTCCTATGAGTCTGAAATGCTTCTTTCCAAGTCCATGATAAATAACCATGTCCATGAAGAGAAAACCCGGTTTCTAATGGAAAAAACAAAAAAATAGAAAACGGGGCCATGAACAAAGCCATGGGTTTCGTGCACCCCGCTCTAAAAAAGCCACCTCCCACCGGCCCCTTTTTCACCAGACCAACTGGGTCCCCCAGCTAGGTGCCCTGTTTAACCCCTTTTTGGGGGGAGGGTTCCCCTACTAAAATAGACGAAAGAGAACAACAATTGGATACCCTTATTCTAACCTCTCTACATCACTTTTAGTGGTTTAATTCGGAAAGCCCATTATTTGGCAAAAAAGTTAACGTCTCAAAGTCGCTTGGCAAAATGAAAAGGGCCCGTCTTTTGTCGGTGGACTCCCAACCTGGTTTTCCTTGTGGTTTCTCATTGCAACCATGCAGCAAGGGGTATCCGCACCAAAGAGCAATGGTCGCCGTGTTGGAAAAGTGCACCTCAGATTGGGCATGTGTTGGAAACATCCCCAAATATATCCAAATATGTCCAAATATATCCCCAAGCAAAACGCACCAACATGGTTTTCCTTTTGGTTTCCCATTGAAACCGCAAAACAAGGGATACTCCCTGAAAAGAAAACTTAACAAGCAGCACCTCTGCCCAGGTCATCCTGGTGGCGATCTTCTGGTCCGCGGTGCAGCTGCAGCCCTGCGGCGCGGAGACGCGGGGCACCCGGTGGCGCGCCTTCGGGCCCACCTCGCTGGTCTTCTTCGTGGTGCTGCCGCCTGGAATCGGAAAATTGGACGGGTGGGAAGTCGGAGGGGAGGGATGGGAGGGAGAGGGATGGGAGGGATGGGAGGGATGGGAGGGATGGGAGGGATGGGAGAGATGAGTGGCCCAGGAAAAGTTCCGCCGATGTTTTTTTCAAAACTTTGTTTGGTGGAAGGGTTTCCCACAAAGGTTTAGTGCGAAGGGAACCGACAGCGCGGCGAGGAAGCTGCTTTGCACGAAGTCGGGTGGGAAGTCGGTTTTGATGGGAGCAATGGGAGAGATGCCCAGTGGCCCCCAGGGAATTCCGCATATTTTTGGCAATTTCTCTTTGGTGGAAGGGCTACCAACTGAAACTCCACGAACCCCAAGCCCCGGAGCAAAATGGGGACACACGCAATATCACCCTGATTTGTTTATTGGGAACCTAATGGTGGACATTTACGGGGGATCGATGTCCACCACTTTACTTGTTCCAAAGAAACAATCATAGCCCTTGGGGCGTCCAAAACCAATTGACTTTACCGAGAAAAAAAGGCAACATCCTGTCTTAGGTTCTTTTCTTTTCCCCCCGCACTCTTCTTTTCACCAGAAATGTGGGATGGGCCAATTCGGGGTGGACAAACATATGGTATGTGTGCCCCCCTGTTTGTCTTGTTGTTTTTAAGGGGGGTTATATCCGAAAGCCACCATTAGAAAACAACACGGCACTGTAATAGAGACACTTCTATGTGCTCTTTGGGGCAGGAATTCGCCGGAGGACTTCCAACTCATTGCGGTCCTTTGGGGTGCTCGAAGTTGAAAGATGACTTTTGGGCAAAGCCCCTGCGGGGAGACAGCTTGGCTCAGGTGCTCTCAACAAAAAGTGGGAGACAGGATGACGTGTTTTGCACCCGTGTCCCCACAAGACGGGCACATGCAGACACATGCACCCTCTCTGCGTTGCCGAAGTGACATTGTGTGGCATGAGTCAACCGGATTCCCCTCTCGGACTTGATCTTCCCGCGAGTTGCCAAAACCTGCCACCCCTGAACACTGAAACCAAGCTGGCATTTGTGTAAGCACAAAGGCGTATATGTCATTTGTATTTGTGTTCGCCGCAAGGCCGCAATTGCTTGAATTGCTCTATTTGCAGAGTGGGCAACATGAGCACTTCCTGGGTCGTTTGCCAATTCTGGTAAAACGGAAAGCGTGGGAGGTGCGGCTACCATGTCAACCGCTGATATCCAGCCAGCTTTGGCTCACATGGATGACCGCTAGCTCAGGTTCTCTTGGCATCATGTGCGCGCCTTTTACCGACGGAATCGGTGCCTGATCTTCCTGGATAAGGTGTGCATTGATCAGAAGAACCCTGAGAGGACTGACGGGAGTTGGGCGCCTTTCAAGTTGTTTCTTCAGTTGCCTGAGTTCTCAAGTCATCTCGAGTCCAGAAAATGTATTAGCACCAACTTGAAAGCGGTGACTGTAAGCACGCCTTGAGCTAAGGCTGTTTTCCCTGAAGTATCTTTGCGGCACCTTGTAAGATGGCTTTCGAAGTTGGGTTTGCTTTTGCTTACATGGCCACGTCGCGTTGTCCATGTTTATCTGAGTGCAGCGTTACAAGTGCACCTGCCATCACGGTACCCGAGCCATTTGATTCGGCGTCCGAACCAGCGCAGAGCGTGTACCACTCAGGGTTGTGGTGCGAAGATGTTGGGCAGTGCTGTACACAAGAGAGGGTGCTGTTGTAGTTCGATTTTTGCTCCGACCTTGCGTTTAGCGCGAGGCCAGGACGGCCAATGATTAATTGGTTCCTGGTTTCTGCTTTGCGGGTGTGGCCCAGCCTTCCTGCAACATAATAATATATTTAAACATAGTGTTTATGGATTTAAATTAGTTGGAATATTATATCCAACATGAATCAAATTCATATATATATATAATCCTGTATCAGGTTGGAAGGCTTGGGTTTACAGGCTTCATTCTGCAAGGAGTGTATTGGATCACGCGGGGCCTTTTGGCTCAAATATGATCCAAACTGGCTAATTTTTAACTTCTGGTTTTTGCATGTTCGGCAAGGGTTACTTGTCGAATGTTGGCAGTTCCAGGAGTTGACTTGGCCGTTCACACGGATCGTCCTATCTTGTCCACAGGCGCCTACCTCGACTTCAAGCGCCATGTGGGCACTTTGCTGCAGCAGGGGAATCACGGCCAGGCCCGGCTGCTCTGGCTTTCGGCTGTGCAAGTGTTGCATGCCCCCTTCGTGCAAACGCCCCTGCCAGTGGCTGATAGTGGGGAGATACCTTTGCACCCTGCATTGATGCCCATTGTGCAAGATGTGACGGGTCTCTTGGCGGCTTCAAGTTCCCGTTCATTGGCACCTGGTGTCGGCGTGCAGTCTTGGTTCAAGGAGGCGCGTCTGCAGCGGAGGCCTGGGCCGCCTGTCATGGGTGCTATGAGGAGGATTGCCTGTCAGAGGCCATGGTGGCTGAAGCAGGCAGTGGCCTCCGTGCCCAGGACATCATCCCGAGGTATGTATGTCTCCGCCATTGCTGGCCGGGTGGAATCTGGCGACCTCCCCTTCGTGTCCTTCAGGGCTTCATGGGGACCTGGAGGAGATGGAGCTTGGGGTCTCGGAGTTGGACCGAGCCATGGCCCAGGGAGGGTGACTCCCTGGGCAAAGTCACAGCAGGGAGGCTTCTCCGTGGGTGGCTGGACGAGGGGAGGAGGAACCTCCCTCTGGGCGGTTTTTGCGCCTACTGCGGCAACAGGGCTCAATCTGTTTGCGCATCATGTGGCATCCACCAATGCGAAGCCTGCCCCATCCGTTGCTGCCAAGGCTCTACGCTGGGGGGTGCTGCTCCTAGCCATGCGTTTCGCGGTGACGCCACTCCTGGGCGCTATGCCACTGAAGCCATGGAGCACTCCGGGGGCGACCCGGGCGGCTCTGGCGAAGGGCTGATGTCTCGTGTCCAGGAGGCCAATGTTCGTGCTTTTCGGCAGAAGCACGGGCTGATGCAGGACTCCGACTTCGGCTTCGCCTTTGAGGCCT